TGGCGTCAAGTGTGACAGCGGTAGTGAGGTTGGCCCAGGATCGGACATTGTTTCATTCTGCTGTGCATGGGGTCGCTATGAGTCGGTTCCTACTGTATGGCACCTGACACCAACAATTTCCTTAGATGTGTTGGCAGGTGATGTTGTTGTTGTTAAGTGCCATCGAGTTGGTTCCGACCCATAGTGTCCCTGTATAGGGTTTCTGAGGAGCAGATGATGAGCTTGAACTGCCGACCTTACAGTCCAAACAGCTTTGTCGTCTGGCGCATTAAGGCACAGCGCCACCTCAGGACTCCAGCAGGTAACAGTTACAGACTAATATTTAGGGTTGTTGGGAAATGCCTTCCCGTCAGTTCAGACTCACAGGTACCTGGTATAGGGTTTTGGAGCCTCATCTTTCTCGCACGTAACAGCTGGAAGGTTTAAGCTGCTGACTTTGTGATTACTGCTTACCTTGCAGCTTCACAGTGCTCCTGATATTTAGGGTAGAAACTATGAATGGCAAGTGATCCTGGTTTTCCATTTGTAGTAGTTACATGTAGTGCTTTACAAAGCAAAAAATTTTGTTTAAAAAAAAAAAAGTGAGCAACTTAAAGCCTTGATTTTCACCCCACTAGGAACAGCATGCACTCTGTGGTTTGGTAGGCATTAGTGTGAAATGTGACTTAGTGAAGTATATTCTCTGGTTTTGTGACTTTGGTCAAGTTCATTTGCCTTTCTCTCCCTCCTTCTCCTCTCTCTGGCTCCCTTCCTACAAGGAGTCATTAAAGGCCTGCCCCATTTCCGTATCTGAAAACGGAAGGTGGTACTTCACAGGGTTTTTGGGGAAATGCAATGCAGAGATAAGATGTTGAAAGCATATATCTATCTTACATTCTTTGTGTAGTTTATGTAACAAGTATTAGACCTGCAGATAGCAAGTGTTCAGTATACTGTAGTTCTTGTGTGATTTAGGCCTCTTGGTTATCAGTGACAACTAGCTTGAGACAGAGGGAGGGCGTGTTGGTTTCATGTGCTGAGCCTGCAGGAAGTTAGCAGTGACAAGTTTCAGGGACTGCTGGAAATGAGGACCCAGCGGCTACCAGGACCCTCCTCACCTCTTTTCTCTTGGTACTTTGTTGATCCTCTTTTGTCTGGCCAGCTTCTTGCACACAGCTAGAAGCAAAACCACCGTCTGTCCCAGCTGCACATCCTCCACTCCTGTCACTAGGAAGGGACTGAACGTTGAGCTCCCTCTTCCTAGGTTCAGAAGTCCTGGGATGCTGGCTAGCCATTGGTGTCCAGATGACAGGACCCAAGGGAACATGACCGCTGCAGTTAGAGCCACATGCTTTGAGAGACACCAAAGAAGGGGACAGATAATCCTGCTGCCATTGCCTTTATCCCTTCCGGGACTCCTGGTGTGGCACTATAGGGTCAGCATTGGACTGTTCACCACAAGGTCCGTGCTTCAGACCTACCAGCTGCTCCTGTACAGGGTTGCTATGAGTCGGCACTTAACAACAAAACAACCTACCTTGCCTCTCATTTGGCCTTCAGAGATGTGCTCAACCTCGGTGGGCTTCCATGTCCTCATTTGAAGTTCTGATGTTCCAGTGAAGTAACAGATGTGGGAGTACTTTGCTTTTAACTTTTATGTAAACAAGTGTATTATTACTGCTATTCCCTTTCCGGCCAAATCTTGATACGCCTTCCAGGGACCTTGGATCCGTGAGGAAGCATGTTTTGCCCACTTGTATTTCTCCTCTGTAAACTTGCTCTTGAAGTAAAATACACATGCAGAAATGCATCCATATCCTGACTGAACTTGTATGGTGTGATGAGTTTTCACAAACTGGACACAGTTGTGCACCCAACACCTGGAATCACAGCCAACAGTGGTAGCCCCCTAAAAGCCCCCGCCTTGTAGCACAGATAGATGTTATACAAGATATATCGAGTCATTACCTAAGAAATCACATGAAAGGCTTAGCAGCATCATGGTTCCATTTCTCACACTGTACTTTCTTAGTAAGAGAGTTTTTAAAAACACAGCTGCCATTATGTTTAATGATATAGACATAAAACTGTTAATACTCTTAAGGAATCCTCAAATTTAAAAGTATTGTCGCACGTTCTTCTGGTCATTTTTGCTTGTAGCATCCACTGAAATGTTTTCTTTCTAACCAAAGTTATAATAACGTGATGTGTTTTCTTCCTTGGTATTGGCTTCTGTTTGCCTGCCTCTCCCTCTCTGAAAACTGGGGAAGGAACCATCTCTGATTGCTCAGGGGTTTTGCCATTTCTTTCCTGTGCAGAAACATGCTAACTGGATAAACTACTTTATCCGTTTCACCCCACCTGGAAGGGCTTTTTGGCTTTATCGAGCGACTTTGCATTTATCCTGAAAGCATGGACTGATCAGATTCTGGAAAGTTCCGATCTCAGAAATGGTTCATTCTCAATGAACATGTTGTCTACTTAGAAAAGCAAAGTCAGTGCTCTTGTGGAGAAGTTTCTCAGTTAACCAAATTTTCTAATATCATTTGTTTTTCTGTTTGTTTTCTCTTTTAGGCTCTAGACCAAGATAGAACAGCACTCCAGAAAGTAAAGAAGTCTGTAAAAGCGATATACAATTCCGGTCAAGGTAAGTGTGTTGCAAAGCAGATAGCATGAATTATTAATAATGGCTCCCTGTTATTTGAGAGATGTTAAGAAGACTCTCTTTTCTCTCTGCCTCTGTTTCCAGAGTCAGAAGGAAAGAAACACTAGTTGGAATAAATATACATATATATTTTTAAAACTTTTTTAATGTGATAAAATATTAAAATCAGCAGTCAAGAAATCAAATGACGTATTGCATTAGGCAAATCTGCACAAGACCTTTTTAAAAGTGTTCAAGAACAAAGATGTCAGCTTGAGGACTAAGGTGCGCCTGACCTAAGCCATGGTATTTTCGATAACCTCATATGCATGCAAAAGCTGGACAGTGAATAAGGAATACCACAGAAGAATTGATGCATTTGAGTTATGGTGTTGGAGAGGAATATTTAAAGTACCACAGGGCTACCAAAAGAACCAACAGATCTCTGTTGAAAGAAGTATAGCCAGAGTGCTCCTTGGAGGCCAGGATGGCCAAAACTTCGTCTCTCGTATGGTCAGAAGGGACCAGTCGCTGGATAAGGATATCATGTTTGGTAAGGTAGAGGGTCAGAGAAAAAGAAGAAGACCCCTAGCGAGATGGATTGGCAGAGTGGCAGCATCCATGGGCTCAAGCGTGGCAACAATTCTGAGGTGGGCCCAGAACCAGGCAGTGTTTCATTCTGTTGTGTATAGGGTCACTATGAGTCAGTACTGACTCGATGGCACCTAACAACAACAACAAAATATTAAAAAGCCACTTGCCAACTCAGTGGTTATTGCTTGTAAAGTTCCGCACATTGATTATGCTTATGATGTTATGCAGCCATTTTCAGGGTCCTTTTTGAATATTCCACCAACAACAACAAAACGTCACTGCCTCTCCCCTGCCTCCTGCCCATGACAGCCACTAGTAATAATCCCTGTACATTTGACTGCGCAGTATAAGTGGAATCACACAGTGTTTGCCCTTGTGTGATTTGCTGATTTCACCTGCGTATCATCTTTTTAAGGTTCATCCATGTCACATCATGTCCCTTAATGGCTGAGTAGTTTTCCACTGTAGGCATGGACCACATTTTGTGTATCTATCTGTTCATCTGTCAGTGACCTTTTAGGTTGCTGGCACCTTTTGCGTTCTTTTGTTGTTGTTGTTGTTTTTAAGGTTTTTATTGTGGCTTGAGTGAAAGTTTACAGGGCAGGTCATCAGTTTTACATTCAACAAATCATACACCTTGTTTCATTACAATGATTATAATCCCCTCCATGTACCATCAATTAACAGTATTTCTCTCTATTCACTTTAGCTTTTTAAAAAAAGACACACACAAAAAAACCACTCAGGAATATATAATAATTTACATCTCCAAAGGGCACATTTTGCAAGTCTGCCTTTCTGCCACTGGCTCTTAGTACCTCTCTTCCCATGAATCTAGAGTCCTCAGCTGCTCCCCCTCTCCATGACCCCATCTCTGCCTCTGTCTCTGGTGTTGCTGCTTCTCTGAATAAGGTCACACATTCTGCTTGTGCTCTTCTCCCTTATGGTCCTAGAGTCCTCTGTTTCTGGACAGTAAGATTAACCACTCCCTGTTTTTGTTACAAAACTTCTATCTTTACGATTGTGATAGTCGCAATTAATCATGATAACAATTATTCACTATTGAATCATATGACTCATCTCCATCTCTTTTCATCATATTCATCTAAACAAGATGAAAACTATTCAGTGGGGTATCTGTCTCCCTCCCCCCACCCCACTCTTAAACTAAACTCCCTCTTAAAAACTTGTAAGCCAGTCACTTTGTGCCTTTATTGCCACCTCATTTTAGGTAGTCAGTGTCTTAAGTTGCCCATCCCTGTCTACCCTGTGTACAGGAGGGATAGCATTGGTACTTGATGTGATGATTCCTTCCCTCTCTGTTGGTATTTAGCATTACTACCTCCAGTGAGTATAGGTCAGGTTCATCACATTGTAGCAACTTACCCTTGTTTCCTTTATCAGAAAAATATATATGTATTTTTTTTGTAATCTTCCTCTAGTCGAGTTCTGATTATCAAGCTATCGAGGCTAGGTCAAATGGGTACTGTCTGCAAGTTTGGGTGTTCTTGTGCGTCTCCCCTCACTTTATATCATCTGAATGCTTCACTCTCAGTTCTAGCCCTCTGTGGCTATGTCCTTGTCCATGGGCTCAAGTGTCCCCAGGTCTCACCATACTTTGGACCAACCAGCCCTTCTCTTCCCTTTCTTATCTCCAGGTCAACAGGAGTCAGTGGACTGTGTTTGTACTCAGCCCATGTCTTCATTGCTGTCTTTCCCCCTCTTCCACTCAGCAGTAGACCCGTGTGGTTGCCAGCAAGCTTACCTGCCTGTTTGTGTATTTCCTTTCAGTTTCAGTCTTAGAGGGGAGTTTGCCCTGAAGAAACTTGATTGCTTGACTTGGTGGCCTCCTGGCGAACAGTTTGCTTATTCTTGTAGTAGCCAGTCATGCTGACATTTTTGTTTGGAGTTTTTCCTGATGATCTTTCTTTGAAGATGTATCTTCTGTTGCTCTAGCTGTAGTGGGAATGTCCTATCTCATAAAGTTCTGAATGGGACTGAGGATTGCCACCTAAGGTCCTATACTCTGTAAAGGCTTTGCAAGAGGCCTATTTTACTGGTCAAGTTCTAGAACCCCTTTAGGTATTCCAGTCAGTTATAGGCTGAAGATGGGCTTACAAGTTTTCTGTAATCTTGGTTCCCAACTTTCCTTTCTATCCCACTCAAGTGTCTATTTTACAATAGTAGGCAAGAGAAACCATTATTCATAAGACAGTCAAGCATTTTAGTATTATTTCCCCTCTTCAAACTATGCCTAGATCCCTGTATTTTAGAGCCCTATTGTTCCAAGGTTGAGCCTGCATCACTATTTACCTCTGTACCACTTATGTCATGCAAACCTGTCTCATTGTTCCCCCATCTATCTTGTTCTTCCACCTCCTCCCCTTTCTTGTATTGTCCTCCCCAACACCCAAACTAAACCCCCTACCCCAACCCCACTGTTGTGGTTACCTTATAGTCCATTAACTCTTCCCTCCATTTAAGACAGTCTATTTTATCCTGACTGTTTCATCACCTGGATCTCTGTTCATCTGTGTTTACCTTCTTTCACATTGTAATTGTTTTGATCATAGACTGACCTCCCAGATCCTCTGTTCTTATAATTTTATTCTGTTTTTGACTCTTCCATTTGTCAGTTGAGTTCAAGGTGATGCTGCCACATACGTCATTCTCTGGTTGTTGTCTGTTCTTCTTGGTTCTCAGTTCATAGAAGTTCCTTTAGGATGTTTTTCATAGCAGGGTTGTCTTGGGCAAATTCCCTTAGCTTCTGTTTATCCTGGAATGTTTTGATTACACCATCATATTTGATTGACAGCTTTGCTGGGTAGAGGATTCTTGGGTGGCAGTTTTTTTCCTTTAAGGGTTTTATATATGTCTCCCCATTGCCTTCTTGCCTGCATGGTGTCTGTTAAGAGATTCAAGCTTAATCTGATTTGCTTGCCTTTGTATGTTACACTTCTCTTTTCCCTAGCTGCTTTCAGGATTCTGTCCTTATCTTTGATTTGGAGAGCTTGATTATTATATGTCTTGGTGATTTTCTTTTAGGGTCTGTCCTTCCTGGGGTTCGTTGAGCTTCTTGAATGCTTATCTTTTCACTTTTCAGGATATTAGGGAGGTTTTCTTCCAGAAGCTCTTCAAGTATCTCCTCTGTGGACTTGTGCGATTCTTCCTGTTCTGGAATGCTGATAATTCTTAAATTATTCCTATTCATATTGTCCAACATGGAATCTTAGGCTGTCTTCAGATTTTCTTTTTTAATCCTTTATTGTGCTTGCTCTTCTAGCTTAGTAGTGTTGAGAGATTTATCTTCTAGCTCACTAGTTCTGGCTTTTATCTCTTCAATTCTACTCCTTTGTCCTTGCAGTGTATTGTCTACTTCTGACATTCTGTTATTAACCATTTGGACCTCTTTCTGTAGGTTTTGGATTGTTTCCAATGCTGTATCTATCTTATTTGATTGTTCCTGTAGCACTTTCCTGACTTCTTGCTTATTTTTCTCGACTCCATTGTATGGTATTTTGGTACATTTTATAATCATTTTTTCTGAATTCCTTCTTAGGCATTTCCAAAGCCTGCCCATTTTCCAGTATGGAATGTAGGTCTACTTCCAGCTTATTTGCCTCAGTCACTTTATCTTGTTTCAGGACATATGCAGATATGGTCATCTGCTTCTGTTTTTTGGGCATCTTCAGGGGTTATCTGTGGTGTTAGTGCATAGATGTGTGTGTAATTGAGTATTTTTTATGCTTTTTCTGTTTGCCTCCAGGTAGATGTGATCAGGAGATGGGCTTCCTTCTCACACTTCTTCCTGAGAAATTTCAAGATGCCACTGTTGGTCATTGTGACATAACTCAGGATTTAATTATCAGCCTATTTCGTTTTTAATCTGCCTGTCCCACTCCACAATCCACATTCAGGACTTTTTCCTAAAGATAAACAGTTCAGGGCTGGCTGTGGCCATTTTGCACTGCCGTTTGGTTTTAAGTGGAAACTGTCACTTTAAATTTTGAGGAGATCTGTGCACATGCATAGTATAACTCTCCAGGGGTGGTGGGGTGTCCACTCACTCAGGCACCCTCTCTAGTCACCAGAATGGGGGTGCGCAGACAGTGAGAGACCAAGTAACAGATTAAAAAAAAAAAAAAATGTCTACACCTTTAACTCCATGGTTCTGTCAGGCATCCGTGGCTTCTCTGATCCTTCCCCCACTTCGTCTCATCCAAGATGGTGGCTCTGGGAGCAGCTGAGCGTCTTGAATTAGAAAGCAATGGATTTCTTGCTTCTGCTACAAATTCCCTTAACTGTAAGCCTTCCAACCTTCTAAATATTCCTTTATATGTGGTTCAGAGTTCTAGGACCATCCCCTGAGCCTGCTTGGTCTGGTATTCTGTGTTGTTGCTGACGAAGCT